CAGGTCGAAGCTGCAGTGGATGTGAGCGTGCTACTGTACTTCAGGCTGGGTGACAGAGTAAAACTACAACTAAAAAAAAAAAAAAAATCCAAGACAAAAGATTATATTCATATATTGTATCATTTCATTTATGTGAAATGTCCAGAAAAGACAGATCTACAGAGACAGAGAGTAGATTAGCACAGCTCATTGGGGCTAGGGGTAGGAACTATAAATGGGCACAAGGGATCTTAGTGGAGTGATACAAATGTTCTAAAACTAGATTATGGTGATGGTTGTACAACTTGGTAACTTTGCCAAAAGCATTGAATTGTATACTTGAAGTAAGCGCATTTTGATATGTAAATTATACCTCTAAAATTGCTTCTAAAAAAAGTTGATCTGGCTGGGCTTCGTGGCTCAGCCTGTAATCCCAGCACTTTGGGAGGCCAAGACAAGTGGATTGCCTGAGCCTGTGGCTTCGAGACCCCCCCGGGCAACCTGGAGAGACCTCGTCTCTACAATAAATCAAAAATTAGCTGGGCGTGGTAGTGCACGCCTGTAGTTCCAGCTACTTGGAAGGCTGAGGCAGAAGGATTGCTGGAGCCCAGCAGGTTAAGGCTGCAGTGGCCAGGAGTGTGCCACTGCACTCCAGTCTGGGTGACAGAATGAGATTCCAACTCAAAAAAAAAAAAAAGTTGATCTCAAGGTTTATATCTATTTTACTGCCAGATATTTCAAATCTACTTTCTTTATAAATACTTCTGTTCTACGTGGCCCACTTGATGAATTGGGGTGTAAGAAAAGTGATACAATATGCAGAGTATTTACCACAGTGTCCATAATACGATGCATATTAAGTACTTCCATTTTTTTCAAGAGTGTTATGCTTTCTGATGACCTTCCTCTGACAGTATCCCAAGAGATTCTTCAACAACATAAATTAATTAAGGTGATCAAAAAGAAATGTGTCTATAATCCTCTGAACATGATCAGGAAGACTGCTAATGAGAAGGTATACTGATACTTTTTAGAAAGAATTTGAAACCAGTAACAAACTTGATTAAAGACCAGAAACAGATGATGAAGAACAGAAAGCAATAAAGAAATGTGGGGTACAGAAAAATGAGCTGTAAATTATACTTTCATAATTAGGAACTTGTGTATAGAAAGAACATAAATATTTAAGTCATTACTTTTGATAAAGACTTGTTCTGACTGCTTTCCTCTCACACCCCAAAAACTGCTTGGATCGTGGGTCACAAGAAAAAATATTTCCTAGTTGAAAGACATTTCATATTCTAAAATCTTTCATGCATATAAAAATTTTAAAGCTCCCAAAATGGAGAAAAGATGGACGCTTGGAAGGCCAAACAACGGTATGCCTTAATGGTTAAAGCAGATTGAAGATTCTCTGATATAGAAGCAGCTGACAGTCCATAAATGCACCAGCACAATGTAGGGAAGGATCAACAGTGACAAACTTAATGAGAAGGATTGCTGGGTCATATAAAGAATATCTGAATATTTGAACTGTTCTGGCTTGTTGTTCTGGCTTACGACCTGTTTTTTCCAACGAGTTCTCCAGACCCTGTAGTCCTTGTAGCCTTGACAGATATCACACTATCAAGTATGTACACAAGCTGGTGCAACATTCACACATATGCATGTATGAGCAAATCCATGCTCAACAAAGGCTACCTGAGAACATAGAGACCATTGACAGAGAGAATCCGCAGTTTGACATGTGAGTCAGGTTAGAGCCTTTGCTATCTTCTGTGTAATAAAGATTATAAAAGGGAGCCCTTAGTATTCTTCAGGAAGTAAACTGATGAGAATGATACGTGTTCTTGACATTTTCTCCAAAAGATGAAATGGCTTTTAGGAACTGATGCCCATGAGTAGGCACTCACTATAGCCTAGAAGATAGTTACTGGTACTTTTCCAAACCAGCCTCCCCTAAAGGACCTCCTAAGGCGGTGGTTCTTAACTGGGGTGATTTGGGCAATGTCTGGAGACATTTTTGGTCATCTCGATTGAGGAGGGGAATACTGCTGGAATTATTGGCTGATGCCAGGAATGATGCTAAACATCAGGACAGTCCCTCACAACAAAGAATATTCTGGCCAAGAGATTGAGAAACCCTGCCCTGAGGTATTTTCCTTTAAACATTTCTGTTCCAGCCGGGCTCGGTGGCTCAGTCTGTAATCCCGCGCCTTTGAGAGGCTAAGGTGAGTGGATTGCCTGAGCCCGCGGGTTTGAGACCCGCAACTTGGCGAGACCTCATCTCTACAATAAAAAAATTAGCCGGGCATGGTAGTGCGCGCCTATAGTTCCAGCTACTTGGAAGGTTGAGGCGGAAGGATAGCCGGAGCTCAGCAGGTTGAGGCTGCGGTGGCCGGGAGCGGCCACTGCACTCCAGTCTGGGCGACAGAGTGAGACTCCAACTCAAAAAAAAAAGATTTCTGTTCCGAACTAACTAGAGTTGCTTCAACTTCTCTTCAGGCCCCACAACTGCAGCAACAGTTTCCAACGGATGTGCACTTTTAGCCTCCCCATAGGCAGGATCCTTTCAAACTGAACAGCTTCCTCTGGCTCCCAGCTTTGCTTCAGGGAACAGATCTAGTAGTCAGGTGGACTGAAGTGTTCCACACCATGTTCTGAATTTACCTTAACACTACCCTCATGAAATTCTGACTGCTGCTCCTGAGGAAAAGGGCAGAGCCCTCTCATTTTCTTCTAATTAGGACATCAAGTCAATCAGACTAGTATAATAAAAAGTCTAGGCACAGTGGTTCACACCTATAATAATTCTAGCACTTTAGGAGGCCGAGATGAGAGGATTGCCTGAGCCCACTGGTTCAAGACCAGCCTGATCAACTTGGCAAGACCTCAGCTCTACAATAAACCAAAAAATTAGCCAGGCATGGTGGCGTGCGCCTGTAGTTCCGGCTACTGGGAAGGCTGAGGCAGAACGATCACCTAAGCCCAGCAGGTCGAGGTTGCAGTGGCCATGAGCATGCCACTGCATTCCAGCCTGGGCAATGGAGTGAGATTCCAATTCAAAAATAAAATAAAATAAAATAAAAAGTCTGTATTTGGTCTTTGTCTCAGTTCCTGGCACAGAGCTCCTAAAATACTTGGGATATCATGAATCAAAGAAATGTCCTTTATTAATCCCAAGGAGCCCCCTCAATCATACCTGAGTATATGCTAATGAGGTGACTGTTGGCAGTCCCCTCAATAGTTTCAAGACAGGGACTGGCTACCAGAAAAACCAATCACATGATTAGAAGGTTGGGATTTTCGCTTCCCCTTCACCTCCAGGGAGGAAAGAGGTGCTAAAGATTGAGTTTAATTACCAATGGCCACTGACTTAATCAATCATGCCTATGCAATGAAACCTCAATAAAAAACTTGGAACTATGAGGTCTGGCGGAGTTTCCTGACTGGTGAACATATTGATGTAGAGGTTCCTGGACTCGGGACTCTTCAGGACCTTGCCCTACGTAACCTTTCATGTGGTTGTTTATTTGTATCCTTTAAAAGAGGCTATAATCATAATTGTAGTGCTTTCCTAAGTTCTGTGGGTCATTCTAATGGATTATCGAACCTAGGGGGTCATGGGAACCCTTGATTGTAGTCGGCCGAGTGGAAGTGTAGGTAGCCTGGTGACCTCACTTGTGTCTGGCATCTAAGGGGAAGTAATCTCATAGGACTGAACCCTTAACCTGTGGAGTCTGTGCTAAGTTCAGGTAATTACTGTCAGAATTGAATTGTAGGATACCTAGTTGGTAGTAGAGAAGTGAATTGTTGGAAAAATACATACAACCCCCCCTAAAAAATGGAATTTTAAGAGACTACCTATTATTTTCATGAATATAAATCAGACACATAAGGGAGAACATAGAAAGAAGACCTCCTGGAAAATATGTGTAAAAACTGAATTTCTGAATGAGGAAGAAACCTGGCTCCTACATCTGGAGGTCTGTGAAGGTTAATAGTTTCTCTAGATTGGTATACAAAGGAAATCAGATCCTTTATGCAATAAAAAACCTATTTGTCATCATGTTACAATGTTATAATGGAGAATTACAGATACAATTCACCTCTGTATACATATACAATATTGTAGTAGAGAATTATAGATATGGGCTGGGTGTGGTGGCTCATGCCTATAATCCCAACACCTTGGGAGGTTGGGATGGGAGGACTGCTTGAGGTCAGGGGTTCAAGACTAGCCTGGGCAACATACTGAGACTCTGTCTCATTTAAAAGAGAGAGAATTATAGGTACAATTTAACCTCTGTAAAGAAATTACTCTTGGTTTCATCTATGAGGAAAAAACTTATGTCCCTGAACTGGTTTTTTGTTTGTCTGTTTGTTTGTTTTGCTAATGGGAACTTGAAGAAATCTATGATTTGCAGGAATGGGACAGTAATCTGATTTATCATGACTGTCCTCCCAGATTGGAACCCCTCCTTTTCTCTATGCTGATACATCCAACAACAACAATAGCAATAACAAAAAAGGGACTGTGACTGTACTAAGCAAGTTAGCATTGGTAGGAGAGAAATTAAAGCTCTACTTTGTAAACCTGAATTTTTTTTTCCTTTTGTACTCCTCCCTCCCAATTATTTTTGTTCTTTTCTTTTAGGATTGTAATAAAGCTCCTCATGGACACTTCAAAATAACTTCAGCTCTGTTATGGAACACAAGAGAATAGGATTCTAATTTCATGTGGGAACCCAAAAGAAAGATATAATTGAGGAACAGCCACTGGGGTGACTTCAACAGTCAGTCCATTCCACCTGGAACACTTCCTTTCAGTGTTCTTTTCTGCTTAAATTTTAAAGGGATTTTGTTTTTAGCAAGAGAGGCTGTCCCTTACAATAGCTGACAATAATCCATAATGAACTATAATGAAGATCTTCTACTTAGGAAAAGCTTCTCAGCCTATCATTCTAAGTAGAAAGAAACAGGTAATGGAAACTCCCTTGTATCAAAGTGTCCTTGCTTACCTTGGATTTCAAATTCATCAACCTCATCAGCAGAGCCAGAGTCAGAAAACTGTGCAGAATCACGCGAACTGAACTGGGAGCTGCTGGAGGTGACCCGGAAGCCTGTTATATTTAAAGAATGAAAAAAAGAGATAAATAAACAGAACAGAAAGAAGTCTTCTACTCTTTCCAGTGGCACCATAGAAAGGACTTGGTGTGACTTCAAAGACAGAAGTAAATAGAACCATGACTGAGAATGATGTTGTTGAAGAGGAAATGAGGTCTTTTTGCTGGTTTACTCCTTCAGAAAGTTTCAAGTAAATAGAAGGTACTACTGTCTGGGAAGCAAATCTGGAACCAATGTTCTTAGTTCTCCTTATATCAGAAACCTGCTTTGGAAGGGAAGGGAGGGGGCTATTTCAGACATGGGAAATGGATGAACTCTAGAATAAGTATCCTTAGTATGGTAGAAAAAAAATTAGAACAACATAAGAAATATCTTTCTGACAGCCGAGGAACTTGGTTTGGGTATAATATCGCAGATGAAGACCAAAAAAAAGCCACCCAGGCACTGAGCCTCAGAGCCTTATCCTGAAACTGTGAAAGTACAGGAACAGAGGTATGCCCAGGTTTTGCTCACTTCCATGCTCAGCCTCCTGGTACACGGAGAGCATGCTCTTGGTGCGGATCTGCTGGCGCCGAAGGCGGATCTTCTGCTTCAGCTCCTGGATCTCTCTATCACTATCTTCCTCCTCCATTTCCTCCTCTTCGAGGCACTGATTCATCATGTTGCACTTCATTAACTCAATGGCAGCAATCAAGGACTCTGAGATGCTGAAGTGGGCATTCTCCTGGGGAAGGAGAGCACCAAAGAAGCTGCTTGGCAAGAGGTCAGAAATATTGAATGCCTCACTGATTATAAGGTTGGAAAGTGGAACTGCCCTGATATGTGCTGCTTTTATTGAAAACACCCAGGGGAAATGTACATTTCTACTATAAGGAAAGTTGATGGCCAGAAACCTTGTTCTAAATTCTCTTTGCTCTCTTACCTGGCCATGCCTGTCCCCTCCTGTCCCATTTTTACATAAAAATATGACAGAGAAGAGGGCCAGGATTTCAATCAGGTTCTTTCCCAAAGTCATACATCTGTATACAAAGTATTAAGGTAAAAGCTATGTTTTAAGATAAAAGTGCTTTGCAAGCTATAAAGTGCTACACAGACTTTTATTTATTACATATCTGAACCTCAGAACAAAAGACAGCAGTTGATTCTGAAAATTGTATTTACCTAAAGTTCCAGGGTAAAAACAACAACAATCACACGGCAAAAACTCAGTTTCTCTTCTCAGGTTGGCATCTAAGATAAAATCACTACTATCTTAGACTCAATGAATAGTACAACACTCCCTGAAGAGTTCCCCAGAAACAGAACTTGTTGAGCTTATTTTTACTGTAGTTTATAACCATGTCACTGCTGTGTCCCCCAAGCCTCATGAAAACAAATGGCACTGCATACTCTCAGGCCAGATTACCCAACTCGTGAGCTCTTCATTAGCCCCTTGGGGTCCTCACCTTTTCCAAGTCTGCACAGCTGCCAAAGTCTTGTTCAGAGAGGTAGCTGATGAGGGACTGTCCTTCTGATGGTCTTCGGAACATACCTTCCCCTGAGCACAGGTACTGACCACCCTCTGTGGGAAAATGGAATATGAACGTAAAAAGCTTGGATTAGAAATGTAAATCTGTAACAGACAAGCATCTTCATGAAGTCTAAAGGTTTTACCACTAAAGATGCTTCAAAGTCATCCCAGGAACTGAGAATTAGAGGTTGGAAACATGTCTATCTTCTAAAGGAATTCTCAGATTCTTAGAATCCCAGAGCACCAAGTCTCTTAGTTAGAGAATGGTGCATTACCAGAAGCAATCCCTCTACCATCTAAATTTAAAGACACCATGCTCTCCCTCCTACCCCACAAAAAATAATAATAATAAAATAAAATGTAAAAACCCCATGCTGAGAGTCAGTGAAAGACACAAACAGCTTTCTCCTATATATGATTTCCACATAGAGCTTGTCTTCTGGTTATTAAGCCTAGATACTCCAAGTCCTCTTTTCAAAGTCCCTCATATACTCAGAGAGCCATCCCATCTGGATCAACCGACATACATGGTAATAACACCCAGAACATTAGAGAGGGTGCGACCCCTAAGTAAGAGCAGAGCAAGAGAAATGGTAGAGAAGTATGATTTCTAGCACAAGGGTCGAAAATGACCAATGGGTGGGTGAGACTGTATTATGTGTACCCTCCACAGAGTTGAGATGAACACCAAAGTTCAGAGTTTAGCAGGTCCAAGGGCAGAGCAGAGCAAAAATACAACTTTAGCCCTGGCCTTCCTAGTGCTCACTTACCATACTCCATGTACAGAGAGCTGGGTGTGCTGATTTCACTGCTTTGACCAGACAAGGGGCCTTTCAACTTCAACTTATCATTGCAGGATTCTAGTGACAGGGACCACCAGGAGTAAAAACACACACACAGAGTAAGCAACAAATACATTTCCAAATTTGGAGTTTCAACATTTAACTGCTCCCATTCCCAAAGCCCTCCCAAACAGAAGAGGTGGTACATCAACAGGAAACAGGCACACCAACATGGAGGAAAGGAGATGAAAAGTCAGGATATTCTAAGTGGAAAGGAGGAGACTTGATCCAGAATGGGGCAACACAGAGGCAAAAAAGAACCAAATCAAAATGTATTTATGAATTTAGTTCTCTTTTCTTCCATCTTTTAACCAAACGTTACAGGGATATCAGTCAATTTCTACTGACAACAAATCAATTTAGAAATTGGTCTTCAGATGGTAAAACAAAGTACACTGGAACATTTCTGATACCTTGACTCTAGAATTTAAAATAGCATCAGGTTTACATTATTAAGAAACAAAATAAAATTCAGTAATGCCCTTAAAAGAAGCATCAAGGCAGTGCTGGAGTAGCCAAGAAAAGGGGCCTTGTAACCAAGCGACTCAGTTACAAGGTTGAGGGCCCTACTACAGAAGGAAGGGAGAGGATTAAGAGAAGGCTGGCAAAGCAGGGAATAGGAATAGTGAGAGCTGGGAGTGGAGAATAGCAGCGGGTAGAGCTCACAGGAAATGAGAAACTGATATTCTTCAAAAAGAAACACAAAATCTCCAGTACCACAGAAGGAAGAGCAGGTGGAAAAGCAGGTGGGTGCTCGAGAAATTAGCAGAATGCTGTGGGAGAATGAATAAGCGAGCTGCATTCAACCCACTTCTTTGAGCGACAGTGCCAACTTGTCAGCACCTCCTTTTGCAAAAAGAAAAAGTTAATGTGGTAAGAGACAATTTTGTGTTCTCCTGGCAGTGGGCTTTGCTCCTCACTACCGAACTGTGGACAAATCAGCAGTCACCATACTGCCTAAAAAACCATGACTTGGGAGGGACCTTTGAGTTTCCAAGTCAAACTTATACAACACAAACTCCAACATCACGATCTTCTTTACATATGGCCACTCAGCATTGACTTACTGAGTTCAATACATCCTGGTCCTGCCCATTCAGCAAATTCTTGGGATTTCCTTACACTCACTTGATAGCTGCCTTCTTACAATTTTTTCTTCTCCTTAAGAATAATGTCTTCTAAAGAATGGTCCTACAGACTTTACTCCTCTTTAACCTTCTCTTTTCCAAGCTAACATGGCTTCACCCATTACCAGGAAGCCATGGTTTTCAGTTCTCCCTCTGTCTTGCAGACACATTCTAGTGTTAATTTCTCCATGAATTATGGTACTCAGAATGGAACACAAATCTTAGCTTGAACACCACCATGAAAACCAAGGAAACAGACTTTAGTCACTAGAAAAATCCTGTGCAATGGCTGGAAAGGGGTGCAGTGACTTACAAAAGAATAAAGACAGGTGAAAGAAAAAGGAAATAAAGAACTATAGGATAGCAAAAAACATGCAATATATCCAAGGCCATAGAAAGGAGATAAAACACATTCTGGTGTTAATTCAAGAAAAATAAAGTAATGCACAATAAGTACACAGTTATAAGAAAAATTCTGCCATCGATTCATCATGATGCCTTAGACAAATAGCAGACCTCAGTTTTACCTATGGGCAAAACCGAATTGATAAGTCTTGACTCTACCTCCCAGAAATGGTTGGGAGACTGAATGAGGCTTTTGAAAGTTGTTGGCAGAAAACACATCATAAGAAATATTGGGCCGGGCTCAGTGGCTCAACCTGTAATCCCAGTGCTTTGGGAGGCTGAGGTGAATGGATTACCTGAGCCCGTGGGTTCGAGACCCGCCTGGGCAACTTGGTGAGACCTCATCTCTACAATAAATCAAAAATTAGCCAGGCGTGGTAGCACGCGCCTATAGTTCCAGCCACTTGGAAGGCTGAGGCGGAAGCATCGCCAGAGCCCAGCAGGTTGAGGCTGCGGTGGCCGGGAGCGGCCACTGCACTCCAGTCTGGTGACAGAGTGAGACTCCAACTCAAAAAAAAAAAAAAAGAAATATTGGTACCATTTTATAGACAAGGTCCAAGAATCACAACAGGACCAGACTAGCCAGACTTGATTTGACACCAGACTGAAAAAGGAGTTCTGAACTGAGCGAGGCGGTCACAGAGGAGCAGAAGGAAAAGGAGGTAGAGGACCGACTCTCAAACCTGCAATGGGATCTTCAACTATAATGGTGATATTCCTGGGGTCTCCTGTAGGTAGACAGACAAGTGCAGAGGAAAGTCCAGACAGAGCAAATGATAAGAGAAAGAGAGAGAGAAAAAGAGTGTTCTAAATTTTACCTAGCAGAAGTGGGGATGTAACTCCCAAGAGGGAATCCCAGTGCTGAAGGAGGGATGACTCATACAAGAAGATACGCATGACCCATACTCCTCAGACCCTTCTGCAAAGGTTTTCCCTGGCTCCCTTTTCCAAAGCAGGTTACCGTGGTTTCTGGAATCCACATGGTTTCTGGAATCCACATGGTTTCAATAATGGGGACAGGAAAGTTTGCATGTTCAAAGGCCAGCGGCTTAGGGTACAGTAGATACCAGGCCTGCTGCAGGAGATGTGAAGTGAGAATCTAACCCAAGCACTCTTCACATCTAAGAAAGCTATGGTAAAACAGGCTTTGATTTAGAGACTTTTCTCCTAAAGGGTTCCAATAAGTCAAACCACATTCTTGAGAGAAAACAGAGATAAGTTTATCATTCAGAAGATTTCAGATGAGGGCCTTGGCTGTCATCTTTCTAGAAATTATAGAGAAAACAATGGCAACTCCAGTTGCTAAAGGAAATCCCTATTTTTTGTCATTAAATTTTTTATATTTTAGTTTTATATTTTGTTGCTGGGGCTTTCCTGACCCAGAATGGCTTTGAGCATAAAGACCATGTTATACTCGCTATTATGGAGATTTTATTACACATGAAACCCAACCAAAGCCTGCTAGATACCAGCAACCCAGGAAAGATGATGGCAGGGAGATGGCAAAAGCATTGAGACCCAACTTCCCCATGTATAGACTGCTCCCCGCTCTCAGCTGGTATTTCTGTGAGGGAGAGCCCAGTGGCCAAGGGCCTCCTTACCTGACCGCCTCTCAGCCTGAATCAGTGATGCAGCAGTCAGCCCCACCTACTTGGTTACTAGGTCACATCACCTCACACTCTCAACATCCCTAGTTTAAATTATAAAATCTATCACTCTGCCTCTCTTGCATGGTATTCCATTCTGACCAAAATTTTAAGGAATCACAAAAGAGAAGGAATTTAACGGGATTAATTTTGAAGTTCATTAATAATTTTCCTCGGTCTGAGAGATATATTTAAAATTCAAACTGTGATGAGTCACACTATTCTCTAATGCTACAGAACTACTAAAAAATCCCAGAAAGCATTTAATATTAGTGATAAATAAAGGAACAAACATAAACACACTCAGAGATTTTGAGTATTGGTATTCCATTATAAACTTTTTTCTTTCATTATAAAGTAGGATGCCCTGTCATCAGAAACGTAACTTGTCTTTCTGCCATTTGAAAATTCTCAAGAACAAACCTTCCATTCTACTCTAAATTCAGGGGGCCATCTTGCTAACTAGCAGCTGGTGCTCATCATTACCTGGGGCTCCTCTGGAGGCGATGTTGGTATCTGAATGGGAACGGATGTGGCTCTTCTTTGTCCCACCAGTGACAGTGAGTGTCTGCCCCTCGGAAAAGCTGGACCTGCGAAGGACACTGGACAGCTGGCCCTCCCCACCTCCCTCCTGGTCCCCTAAGGAAGAAGCAGCAGAATCTGGCTTCTGGGAGCTGCTGGAGGAGAACAAATTGGAGCTGCTGCTCTCAGGATTGCTATTGTGACTCTGACAGCTGGCAGTCCGGCATCGGGGGTCCAGGTTGCCGATGGCCAGGTATTCAGGCCCCTCACTGGCATCACTTGGGGAATCATTCTGACTGCTGACCCAGGATGCCTCTACAGGGCTGGTCAGAGTGCTGGAGCTCATCTCATTTGAGGTCAAGGGGGAATTCCTGGTTAGTGTAGAGACTGAAAGCAGGGAGGCTTGGATGGTTTGGTCTTCTGCTGGTAACAGGTGCCCTCTGCTTTCTTGAGGTTTCCGCAGAGGACCAGAGAGTGAAAAGGAAGTAGATCTTCTCTCTAGGATATAAAAAGAAAGGTAAGGGAAGAGAAAGGGCAATTGGAATCCTGCAGTATGTGGAAAGAGCTTTTCCACACCTAAGGACCAAACTCCCTAGTGTTACTGTATGTCCAGGACATATGGTATAATCTCAGAAAAGGTAAGTCAAATAAAGGAAAAAATGACAAAGCAGCAGCTAAGTCAAGAGTATGGGCTCTTGAGATAGTGGCTTTACTGCTTTTGAGTATATTCCTAATCTTTAAAATGAGCAATAATAGTATCGCCTCATAGGACTGTTTTAAGGATCAAATGAGATAATACATATAAATTGAATACTAATACATATAAATTGAATACAATGAGCCTAACATGTGGTAGACAATCAATAAATGTTAGCTATTATTTAAATGCCTTTTTCGTAATGTGGGCTAAAAAGCCAGGGAAATCTAAAAATATCTCCTCTATTATTTAATGATTCTACTGAATTATCTTAGACTAGTCGCTATATAACTTTTAAAGATGTCCGTTATTAAGACATGAAGTTTGACAAACTGCACCAATCCAAGGCTCAATTCCCAGCCTATGAGTACCCACAAAGTACTGGAGGTACTCCATGAATGACTGGAGATACATGTACTAAACCACCCCTTCCTGCCCCCATACCTGAGCCATTGTTGGGCACAGGTTGGTGAAGGCTAGAGAAAGATCCAAAGTAGGAATGCTGAGCATAGCTGGTTGGAGGGTTATACGTAGAACCAGGCAGAGCTGTCAGGCTCTGGCTCTTTGTCACTAGCAGCGGACTCTCATGCTTTCTGGCAAACTAAAAAAAAAAATTGTCAGAGTTAAGGATAGAGGGCCTCAGAGGAGGGGCATTTAGTACTGCAGAAATGCTGATAGAAGCTGGCCTTTGGCAGTGGACCTGTACTTTAACCAGAACCTGTAGATACAGCACAGCTACCCTCTACTATAGCAGACAACTTACAACTTTGAAACCTTGAAATCCTGCTTTATACCACAGCTTCTGTACTGGAATCCTTCTAGGTGGTCAAATCAGGAGTGCTTTATCATGAAGGCAGCATGAGAGACTGCTTATAAGACTATACGTGTGTGGCCAGGCGCGGCGGCCCACATTCTATAATCCCAGCACTTTGGGAGGCCAAGGTAAGAGGAATGCCTGAGCCCTGGGGTTCGAGACTAGCCTGGGAAACTTGGCAGGACCTCATTTCTACAATAAATCAAAAAATTTGCCAGTATGGTGGCATGTGTCTGTAGTTCCAGCTACTTGGAAGGCTGAGGTAGAAGGATCACCTGAGCCCAGCAGGTTGAGGCTGTGGTGGCTATGAGCATGCCACTGCACTCTAGCCTAGGCGACAGAGTAAGACTCCAACTTGAAAAAAAAAAAAAAGACTATACATATGGGGTGAGAAGTCAAATAGACCAGAGTTCAAATCCAAGCCCTGTCACTTATAAGCTATTTGGTTCAAACTTTGGACAAGTGACTTATCTACTCTGTGCCTGAGTGGCCTCCTTTATAAAATGAGATTAATGCCTATCTCATAGAGTTGTGAGGATTAAATGAGATAATACATGCATTGTACATAGCACCATGCCTGACAGATGATAAACAACAACCAAAATAGAAAGAACCAGGAGAGACTGGGGATCCCCTTCTAAAAAGAGAACTGATTCCATTCTAGCTGAGGCACTGACTAGAGTATTACGAGTCAATTATAGGCAACAAAGTTTTGTTTGTACTACAAAATTTTCTTTATATCAAAGAAAAAAAAAGATACCATGTAATACTAAGCCATACTAGGTCTGACACTCAACCTTACTCCTGATTCAGAACCATCCCTATCCTCCCAGTTCTTTATCAGGTCTTAAGGAGGTACTGACTCAGTCTAAGGATTCTAAGGGTTTAAAAAAATACACATATAACCTCCCCCCCAGCAAACAGGCCTAAGTTTAGATTTTTTACTTCAATAGGTACTTAAAAGAACCTCCCTTCTCTCCAAGCATTTTAAAAATGAAAATCTTTCAGCTCATAACTAACTGCCCAAGTGCAGAACTGGTTTGCTATAGAGGGTTACACATGATGGTGAGGTCCTGGGGCCCAGCATAGGCATGAATAATTCCTTGCCCTCTTTACCATAGATGCATCGATCTGAGCCAGGAGGCGAGGGTTGTTCTGTTCTACTGCTTCCAGGCATTGAAGCATGGCTGTGACATGGGCATCACTTAGCAGGAAAGCAGTATCTGGGGAGAGAAAAGCTACCACAGTGATGGAACCCAACAGGGAAGTCTTTAGCCTCCCTGGATAGCCCTGGGAGAAGTTCAGGGAAAGAGAGAGGGAGAAGGTAAAAATGAATTGGGAAGAATCCTGCCACTGTCAGGTGAAGGCAAATAGGAAACAAGGAAAGGACAGAAGAGGCTAAATAATATGCAGTATAGCAAAGGAACCAAGACAAGGGGTTTCAACAAGTCAGAAATACCCAGATCTGAATCCTGGCTCTGGGTAACTTTGGCTAAGCCACCTGACTACCCTGAACTCTGTCTCTCTAGATTGGAAAACAGGAGTTCTAATGCCCAGCTCCTAGGACTGTTGTGACAGTACTATAGCAGTGACTGGCACTTAGGAAACTCTTGGCAAATGGTAGCTATTCTTATTGCTTTATGTGAATGAGAGTAAGGGAATACCTTAGCATAAAGTTTTATCGTGTTTTACATGGGAGGTGAGAGGGAAGACTGCATAGGTGTTTCTGAGCAGAATCCTGATGGCATCAAGTGAAAAGAGTTAGAGAGATATTTCTAAGGAGGAATGGTGAGCTGAAAGAGAATGAGGAAGTACATGCAACCATCTTAAGTGACCTCTACCTACCTGTGTAGAATTTCCTGATATATTGTCTATCCCCGAGGAGAGGCCGGAGCTGGGCTGAGAGGCAGTGGCACTGCAAGCTGTGCTGCAGCCACAACTCTGCAACAGCACGCTCACTCACACCATCGGCATTGCTCTGGTCATTCTCATGCAAGTTGATGAACTGGGAAGCAAAGAGGCATGAGTCAAAACATGCATCCTGGTAGACACAGCAAGACTGAGGCCTAATGATCTGAGAACTAAATGGAGATGGGTAAGGAAGGCAATCAGAGGTACTTTCCTCCACCTAGCATCTAGAGGATTCTGGAGAAGGAGAACAAAGTAAGGGATTAACAGCTTCAGTGTTGAATTGGACCACTGGTGAGGGACTAAGCAGTTAAGACCTGATATGCAGCTCCAGGAGAGGACCAAGCTGCTACATCTGGTTCTTTGTGTTCTAACTCCAAAGAAGCATCTGTTCTGGGGTATTCAGAGGAACGATGAACTTGACTCCTTGGCTTCTCTCACAGTCCTCTCTTTCAAGTGGCCTCCAGAAAAGAATGTGACAAAAACCTAGAAGAAAGGATCTAGAAAAAAATGCCACCAAACATTCTCCACCAAAGAGAAGCCATCTGAACACCTCTTTTTGGTGCTAACCACAGCATTCTCTACTTGGAACTTCCTCCTATCTGGCTGTTTCTAAAAGTAAGATCGCATTGCCCAGGATCAGTGCAAAAAAAAAAAAAAAAAGTATGGAAGGCAATTTCAGGCAGCTTCTAAGAGGAAATGGCTACAGCAATATATTGTAGAAAAGGAAGTTGGAGGGAGGTTTAGTGGGAAAAATTAAATGAGAAGGACAAAAAAACAAAACAAAACAAAACTATGTAAGAATGTCAATGGGCTCTGGCCTTTTCTCACAAAAAAGGCCAGTATGACATCCTGTGATTTAGTTCCCTGATCATTTAGAAACAAGTGACTTCTCCTGACAACATCTTAGCAATGAATCTGGCAGTGTAGGTATACATGAAACAAGACTGGCCATGTATTGACAAGTGTGGAAGATGAGTGATGGATATTTTGGAGTTCATCTTGCTGTTCTCTCTAATGTTATATATGTTTGAGATTTCCCATAATAAAGAGTTAAATAAATACATACACAAAATTGGCAATGACTGTTCTGAAACTAGCTGTGTAACTTTGGTCCAGTCACCCAACTTCTTTGAGCATAATTTCCCTGACTGGAAATCAGGGGCACGGTACTATGTTGAGCTGAGAGGACAGGAGAGTAAATACTACAATGGTGGCCACTGTGAACATGTTTGGCTCCATCTGACACTAGCCTCCAGAGGCCTTGCATTGCTTTCTAACTGGTAGATCGTCTTCTTCTTGAACAGTTGTTAAAATATCAGTCCCACTTCCCCTACTTTAGGGAACCTCTTGCCACTTGCCCTGGATTTGGAATAGCTTCACCCTGGACCTATAAACTCAGATTTTTTGAAGATAACTTTTTCATCCTTTCCCCAGAGGAAATAAAGTGGCCTGGATCAATGAGTTTGCAAGCTTTTTTTTTTAAAGCAAAAAACCCTCCCCACCACAAGTCAGTCCTATAGGGATAATTTCCTTTCCTCAGTAGATAGGAAACTTGACACACTCCACCCTTTTAGCCTAGAAGATTCTTCCAAGAGAACATCAACAAATGAAGACTTATAGTTACACCCTAACAAACCAGTTCTTCTTTCATTCTTACCTTCTCCACATGAAGAGCTGAGTGGGGACTGAGCCACCGGATGTCTTTCACAAATTGCCAGTAATCAGTCTGGCGGCAGCACACCTGCTGAGTGAACGCACAGAGGGAGCAAATCACGACCATTCTGGGCAAATCAAGTTCTAGTGTTGACATCAAAGAGAGAAAAAGAGCGTAACCTTCCCTTGCCTCAACAAAGATTCTCAGCAGTAATCAAAGAAGTATATATATATGTTCACCCTTTTAAAGAACAACTGTTGAAAAGTATTTTAATTGTTCTTTTGAACAGGTAATACATGCATATGATATAGAAGGCATATAGTGAAATCTCCACTATTCTGCTTCCTAAAAGGTAATTCTTAAAACTGGTGAAGAGTTATTTGTTAAAAGCCAGAGATGGATGTCTTTAGTTCTTACTGCAAGCAAAATCAAATCAGGAAACATCCACTTTTCCATATTACCCAGGTCAGGAAAGGGTTATAAGTCAGAGAAATGCTCAGTACTAGATTAAATGGCCTCACATTGCAATAGCTCTGAACATGACAGCAAAATGTTTTATAACAACAACAACAAAAAAAAAACCTCAATTGTTATTTTTGAGAATCGTTTCTGAGACTATTAGACAAGAGTTAAAACTGAAATCTAAATAATTTTAAAAATAAGGCTTAGTGTAGTGGCTCACACCTATAAACTCAGTGCTTTGGGAGGCTGAGACAGGAGGATCACTTGAGGTCACTTCAAGACCAGCCCAGACAACCTAGCAAGACCCTGTCTCTATAAAAAATTTTAAAAATTAGCTGAGCATGGTGTATGCGTCTATAGTCCCACTACTTGGAAGGCTGAAGTGGGAGGATCGTTCAAGCCTAGGAGTTCAAAGTTGTAGTGAGCCATGATCAGGCCACTGCACTACAGCATGGGTAACAGAGTGAGACTTAAAAAATAACATTAATTAGTTTTCTAAAAGTTGAGCTAGTACAAGTATCAAGAGACAGACCAATTAAAGGAACAAAATAAACAGCCTAGATACCTGATGATATATTAAAATTTAATAGATCCAAAAAGCATCTCACAAGTCAGTAGATCTCTCACCTAGATTGGGAAAGTTGAAGTGAGAATTGAAAGTGTCAAATGTATAGGCTCTTTTTTACTATTAGAAGACCTTTAGTGTTTGGCGGCAGTGTGGCAGAGTTTCTAGTCTCTGGGTTAGTGGATATTAAGTGGCAGGAGTGGGCAGCAGTGGTATATCAACTCCATCATGTCTCCTGGTTACAGTTCTTTTAAGTGACTAGCATCTAAAATTGGTTTCCTTTCTTCAGACAAAATTTTAGACTAACTTAAGAACTTTAATAAACTACTTTCTTTAATAAGCCACTTTTCTGTTTGAAAAAAAGAGTTATTCAACAAATATATTGAGAAAATTGCCTGGTTAGAATAGATCAATTTAGGCATTCTCCTCAAATCATATATCAAAACAAATTCCAGCTGTATTAAAGAGTTAACTATGAAAAACTATTAAATTAACTTTGTAAACTATGAAATGACAAACCCTCCAAGGGAAAAAGGAAAGTAAGGATACTGAATTTCTGAACAGAAAAAAATCTTCAATGTATAAAAGCAAAAGTACAATACAAAAAGGAACTGATAGAAGGACAAATTTTAAATTTTCCTACATAAAATTAAAAAACAATTTAAAAATGTTTGGCATTTTTTAAATAGCAAAAGATATGTAAACAACGTGAACATTTACCAGTAGGGTACTGATTAAATAAATTAGGGTACACTCATGCATGTAACATTATATACACATCCACTCATGCATGTAATATTATATACAGCATATATTTTCTGAAAGAGTGGATATTCCCAATTATCCTGACCCTGGGAAAGAAGTACTCAAGTTGGGTATAGACTACTCTCTAGCAGAATATCCATTCACTTTTACTCCCACTAATTGTGTTGTGGTTTACCAAGACTCAGTTGTTTAAGTTCCCAAATCTATTTCTGTTAGTTGTACTTGTTATAACTTCACATTCAAAGTAATGATTATGCTCTTTGAGGAAATTACCATATTTATGGACGCTAGGTAGTATGCTTTGAATTAAGTCAATATAAAGATTTGATATCACATTAGGTGGAGGCAAGACACTTTTCAAAAGTTAGAAAAAAACTAAAAATTAAGATTTTGTATACATATTACAGAATTTCAAAATTGCTGGCCCTGTATAAATAAATTGAAACTGGAAATTCTATATAAAATTCTATTATGGATATAGTTTACATAAGAAAGGTGACATAGATCCATCAGTGGATCCATACTAACTGAAAAGGTTTTGACCCAATAGCCAGACTACTGAATAGATGTAAATGTATATGCTTTAAGTTAAAATAAAATGTTTGAGTTATAGATGTTATCACTACATAATTTCCCTCACTTAATCAATAGGTTAATGATTCAGATCACGATGCATAACAAGTCTTTACTAGTCCTTATCAAAAAATAATGTAGGCCAGGTATGGTGGCTCGCGCCTGTAATCTCAGCACTTTAGGAGGATAAGGCCAGATGATTGCCTGAGTCCAGGAGTTGAAGACTGGCCTGGGAAGCATGGTGAGACCATGTCTCTACAATAAATCAAAAAATTAGCTGCGTGTGGTGGCACATGTCTATAGTCCAGCTACTTGGAAGACTGAGGAGGGAGGCTCGCCTGAGCCCAGCAGGTTGAGGCTGTGGTAGCTGTGAATGTGCTGCTGCACTCCAGCCTGGGTGACAGAGTGAGGCTCTGACTCAATAAAAAAGATATAGTAGTTCACAGGTAAATAAAATGACAAATGTTTGTACACTGAAGGAAATAAGGTCATCAATAACAACAAAAATAATAGCAGATGCTGTAAGAATAAAGGCTACTCCCTAGCCATAATGAAAAGCTACAATAATTATAACTGAGTGGTAATGACATACAAATAGACAAAAAACAATATACCATAATAGAAATCTGGTTATACATTCAATGCATAGGAAATTAAATATACTCCAAGTAAATTACAGATGGAATGATTTGACTGTAAAATATTAAGCCATAAGAGTAATACCAAAAAAATGGGAAAATATTTTTAATAATCACAGAGAAGCCCTCTTTAAACATCACACAGAGCCCAAAAGTCATAAATGATTAATTTGACAATACTAAAAAGCAGATATTTTGGCAGAGTTAAAAGTATAAGGCTAGACTAGGAAAAAAATATTTGCAATTCCAATTACAAAGAATCCATTCCCTGTATAAATGAACAGCTTCTACAAATGAGTAGGAAAAGACTAACAATCTAAAGAAAATGAGAATAAAGTTGAAAAAGGTTCACAGAGAAAAAATTTAATGACTTTTATAAACATCTTTTCATGTTAAGAGAAATGTAACTTTTAACCTATCATATTGGTAAAGTTCAAGATGTTTAATAACACTGTATTGGGAAGGGTATGGGGAAGCAGATACTCATATATTGCTGGTGAAGGTATAAATATATATAACTTCCTGGAGGGCTTGGCAATAGCTACCAAAATTCAAATGCACATACCCTTTAGCCTAAGAATTCTAGGAACTTATCCCTTGGTATAGGGCAAAATCATCTATATAATAAGCACTGTTACTAATAGCAAATGATTGGAAACAGTCTAAACATTCACTCATCAGGGGACTGGCTAAATAAATTATGGTATACACATACAATGGAATATTATAAAATGAAGCTACAAAAAGAATTGAAGAAGTACTTTTTGTAATGATTTGGGATGGACAACAAGACGTATCAAGTGAAAAAGGCAAAGTGCAGCATATTGATTATAGTATACTTTTATTTATATAAAAAAGCAAGTGTACCCAAGAAAATTATTCACACTTGCTATTATAAGCATAAAAATTCTCTGGCAGGAAATTAGTAAATAGTAGTTACCTATGGGATCAGCAGGAAACAAGACTTTTCACTGTATATAATTTTATTCCTTTTGAGTTTTTAACCATATAAAATATACTGTCTAATAAAAAAATTAAATATGTTTAAAGCAAGTTAAAGAGTGATATGTATTGTACAATATTAATATTTTAAAAAACACATACTTAGAAAAAAAGTATGAAAAATTCTACCAAAATGTTAGAGTGGTTGTTAGTGCTTGGTGTAGAGATTATAGGTGATATTTATATTCTTTTAAAGCTTTTTTGTCATTTTCTGAACTTTCAACAAATAAAATATATTACTTATATAGTCAAGGAAAAAAACACAGAGGTCTTTTTTGTTATTACTGTTATTTTTTTAAATGGGCTACCTATGTCACCAAAACTGATTTCTTCTTGATGGTGGAGAAAAGGGGAATACTTACACTTCTATTTAGCTGAACAATACCAGCTGAATATGGGAATTGTCTTCACATTTCTAAGCAGGAGAAAAGAGGTCATCAAATATGCCTTGTCTTACAGAAGGACTAAATGGTAGCCCAAACGCAGGCTGTCAAGGAAAATGAGATCCCTCTAAGAATATGGTCATGATGTTACCGCTTTCCTAAGGCCCTGAATGATTTTTTAAAAATGCAACTCACATTCCATAACACATTCTTTTGAAAGCACAGAGGAGGTATGACCAGCATGAATCATTGTATCCCTCCTCCCCCCACAAGGGCACAACACCCAAAATAGCTTCCTGATGACGCAGCAGCCTGAGACCTTTGAAAGCCTTAATCTTTAGGGAGGAAATGTGAGGGGAAACAAGTTTTTGACACAGACTTTAATTCTTAGATCTTTACAAGGCAGAACAGAGCAGCAATGAAACTGGCATGAATTTTTTGTTTTTGATTCTTCCCACCAGAGCCTGTGGTTGCTAAGTGTGTGTGTGCATGTATGTGTGTGTGCGTGCATCAGACAGATTTGCCTGGTTTGCTCTGCTTCCGCTTACACTGTTGCTGTTTTGCAGGTGACCATATGCTTTGATATTTTTCATTCTGATGATCAGATACTTACACAGATATTATCACTTTTAATAACTATAACAGGGCAGGCACGGTGGCTCATGCCTGTATCCAGCACTTTAGGAGGCGGAGCTGGGAAGATCTCTTGAGCCCAGGAGAATGAGACCAGTCTGGGCAACGTAACAAGACTCCGTCTCTATTAAAAACAATCAGGCCAGGTGCAGTGGCTCATGGCTGTAATCTCAATGCTTTGGGATGCTGAAGCAAGAGGATTGTGTGAGTCCAGGAGTTCAAGACCAGCTTAGGCAACGTAATGAGACCTTGTCTCTACAAAAAATTCCAAAAATTAGCTGGGCATGGTGATGTACACCTGTAGTCCCAGCTACTTGGGAGGATGAGGTGGAGGGATGATCACCCATGCCCAGGAGGTCATGTCACTGTACTCCAGCTTGGGTGACAGAGTGAGACTCTTGACCAAAAAAAAAAAATCTGTAAGTATAACAAACTATATTAATAATGTTCTGCATTAACCAAGCAGCTTTCACTTGAGAATTTCATTGAGTTTACTTACATTTCTCTTTCAGGCACAGGTAGTGAAACTGTCTTGTAATATGGTAAAGGGATCACTCTAGATGACAGTACAATATTAGTAATAGGGTCAAGAAAAGAACCCATTTGCTATTAGGACACAAGTACTTGAACTACTAAATGGCAGAACCATGAATCTGGTAGCTATTTTGGTCATCAGCCTGGGAAACTTGCATTGAGTTTTTGTAAAACATGTTGGCATGATTCCCAAGTTTCTGGCTTGGGAGACTGAGTAGATCAATACCACAAATTAGTGTTAAAAATAGAAGAAGAAAGGGCTATCTTAGTTGTTCTTGGGCCCAAAGAAAGATAGCCAGATAATAATGTAGAGGAGACAACTAGTCTTCTGGATATAGAGTTCAGCAGAGATATTTGGGTGGGGCTCATCAATGTGTTGGTGACAGTTCACGCAACACAACTAGATGAGATTGCTTCAGGAAAATATTCAGAGTAAGAAAAGATAAGGAAATACAGCATCACTCCATTTTTTACAAAATTCCAAGAGAAAAAAATTCCAGGGAAAGAAACTGAGGAGTGGTCACAGAGGTAGGCTAATGTCTCTGACATCAGAAGATAATGTCATAAAAGTCAAGCGACATATGGTGATGGTCAACAGTGTTGAACATAAGATAATATTCAAAGGAGAAATGTTCATTGGCTTTGGTAACACAGATGTCATTTTACTTAAATTGCAGTGCAAGATCACCAGTGGTAAGGTGGGTCAACTTATTTGTTTTGCAAATTCCAGTGCTCATAATTCTTTTTTCTCATAGGACTACATGTAACTGGAAACTAAAAAAAAAAAAAAAAAAAAGGCATATTTATTACTTACTTATTTATTTATTTTTGAGTTGGAGTCTCACTCCGTGGCCCAGGCTGGAGTGCAGTGGCACACTCACGGCACCCCGGTGTCAACCTGCTGGGCTCCGGTGATCCTTCTGCCTCAGTCTTCCAAGTAGCCAGAACTACAGGCACATGCTACCATGCCCGGCTAATTTTTTTTTTTTTTTTTTTATTGTAAAGACAAGGTCTTGCCAAGTTTTCCGGGCTGGTCTCGAACCTGTGAGCTCAGGCAATCCTCTCATGTTGGCCTCCCAAAGTGCTGGGATTACAGGCTGAGCCACCGAGCCCGGTCTTATTAATTACTTCTTATGTGCCACAAATGGTGCTAGACAAATCTGTACGCTATTTCATTTAACTTTTCCATTAAGACTTAATTACTACTATCTTAATTTATGAGAAGGTGACTATAGTGATATTCAGCAGTGAGGTATGTAGTACTTTTTCTAGGATAAGTTCACAAACTTAATTGTCACACCACATACTACTTGCACTTTTACTGGTGAGGAAGCTAAAGCACAAAGAGGTTAAGTATCTTGTCCAAGGTTACAAGCTAGTATATGAAAGAGTGGAAATTTGAACCCAGGTAGTCTGGCTCTACTCTAAGCCACCAACTATTAACTACTCATGTTAATCCTCCTCTCTTCTTTTTACCTCAGTTCTTCACTATCATTCCTAAAACTGCTGGAGTTTTCACATGTATCTTGAGGAGGAATTCTCATTACCCCTAAAAGGAAAGTACATAATTCTTTCTTACTGAAACTAATTTGAAGTAAAGATACTAATAACAAAAGTCTAAATTTAGGTGACAAGATGAAAATTCTAATTCAAAAAAGAATCAGAGGAAGAATTGACAGTTTTGTATCAGGAAAGAAACATTAATTCTAACTACACCAATTTCATCACATTATTTATCACTGGAACAAACTGACTACTAAGGCAAAAGGATTTCCCAAAGGAAATTACATTTACTGTAATTTTTAATAAGCACATGGAGTAAAAACATTTCCTCAATGAAAGTGAGAGACTAATTAAATATTTCTGTCTTGGTTGTTTTATTCCTTTATTCTACCTACATCTGACAAAACAGTATGGTTTTAAACCAAAATTAAAATTCAGAAGAAAAAGCTGCCTGACAGTTATTGGCTAAAAATGTCCACGTCCTAATTCCTAGAATCTGCAACTGTTACCTTTTATGGCAAAAGGGACTTTGCAGATGTGATGAAGAATCTTAGAAGATGGGGAGATTATCCTGGGTTATCCAAGGAGGCCCAGTGTAATTACAGGGATCCTTTTAGGAGGAAGGCAGGAGAAATTACAAGAAGGGAAGGTGATGTGAAAGCAGAGAGAGTTTTAAAGATGCTATACTGCTGGCTTTCATGATGGAGGAAGTGGCCAAGAGACAAAGAATACAAGGGATGCAAGTTCAAGAAGCTGGAAAAGGTAAGAAAATAAATGCTCCCCTAGAGTCTTCAGAGAGAGTATAGCTCCAAAGACACCTTGGTTTCAGCCTAGTGAAACTCATTTCAAAATTCTGAGCTCAAGGACTGGATATTAATAAATTTATGGTGTTTTAAGCCATTAAGTTTATAGTCATTTGCAACAACAATAAGAAACTAATAAACTGATCTAACATCTTTTTGGGTTTTTTTTGTTTGTTTGTTTTGTTTTGAGTTGGAGTCACTCTGTCACCCAGACTGGAGTGGAGTGGCCGCTTCCGGCCACCGCAGCCTCAACCTGCTGGGCTCCGGCGATCCTTCCGCCTCAGCCTTCCGAGTAGCTGGAATTACAGGCATGTGCTACCATGCCCGGCTGATTATTTTGATTTTTTTTTTTTATTGTAGAGACGAGTTCTCGCCAAGTTGCCCAGGCGGGTCTCGAACCCGTGGGCTCAGGCAATCCACTCACCTCAGCCTCCCAAAGGCGCGGGATTACAGGCTGAGCCACCGAGCCCAGCTGATCTAACATCTTATTGCTGATTTGCTTTCCTACCCAGAGCTTACTACTCATCCCATTAACATCTATGGTACATCAGACACTAAGTGAAATGTTCTGGATATAAAAAAAAAAAAGAAAGAATGTATGAAATCACAGCTCTCAAGGGCTTATAGACTATTGGCCTTCATCATCTCCCTGCCAGCCAACTTAGTGCAACTGTTTCTTTCTAATAAGCGATTCAGCCACTCTGGCAATTCGGCATACCTGGTCATGGATAAGCCCATGATAGAGGATGCTCTGCATGTCCCTGCAAAGCCGTTCCAGGCCACCATACTTGGACCAGACGTTAGGGTTGTTGGTTGACACCAAACCCTCCACAGTTGTCTTCAAATTCCCCAGCAACTGCCAGTGCTCCCTCCTGCAAGGGCATCAATTATACCAAAGGTTAGTTAACTCTGTTATACCTGATCCTGATAGTATCAAAGAAAGTCTAATCCAAGGATCCTCCTGACCTACAACCTAACATTCTCCCCGCTATTAATTTCTTAATTGAGCATAAGACTCAACTCTGAGAGGATTAAAGCTGTAAAGAACACTAAGATAAAAACTAAAAACAAAAAAACTCACATAATATGTAACAGGCATGTTATGCTTTGATTTTCATCTACTATCTCGTTCAGTTCTCACATAAGTAGTCTATCATCCTATGTTTATAGGAGTATGACCTGTTATCCATTTCTGAACAATGATAGTATATGTGCAATATATAAAAAGATGGGCGCGGGATCAGAAATCTTTGCTCAGAAATCTTTTGCCAAAAAAAAAAAGTTAAAAAAACCTACTGTTTATTTACTATATTTCTAAGCACTAACTACAGCTAAATGAAGAACAGAAAATGCTTTCAATATACATACAAATATTATGGACAAAAATACAAATTGCTCATGATTTTTAAGCTAAAATTAAGACAAAAATGTTTTAAGTTTGCACTAAGCCACTTTGGGACATGCTCCCAAACCAGCCAGCTATTGGCTCATTCTCCTAGTCTATTTGAAATACTTGAATGGAAAACTATGAAAACTGCTGCCCTAGATAATCTTCAAGCTTCCTCTTAAAACCCCAGCACTTTCTCAATGCAACTTCTAACCCAATAAAAACTTAACATCAACTGCAACCGAATGAAAAGAGCTGGAGGGACTGAATCAAACTGGATAAGGAAAACAGGAGGAGATGAAGTGTTAAACTCCTCCTCTTGGGCCCCCAGCTGTCACCTTGCAATCTTTACCTTGCTCTTTCATTTCTTAGTAGAATACTACTCTTTCCTCTTTCAGGACAATCATGGGAATGGCAATGATGTCTTCAGGAAACTTTCACCATAACTATATTATATCATTTAAATAGCCATGAGGGTGGGAGGACGCTGAATTAAGATACTTTTTAATACTGTCAGTACTCAAAATTAATCTTTTTGGAAGCTAGATATGGTATAGGAGTGTCATCTAAAAAGGGAAGGCTAGATGGAGCTCCCTCTGGTCTTATGCTCTTGAAGGCTTGTGACCAAGGATTCATTCACATTGGGAGACTCCAAGTTTTCTTAACCTTATGCCATTAAGTATTTCGGTCATCAGACTTCCCTTACTGTTTCTGAGAAATATCTCAAGGTAACTAAAAGGCACACAGGACTGAGGTGGTTACTTAAATGCCATTTATTGTTACACTGTGAGAAAGTGACTGCCACCTTTTGCTCAGTGACTCTGACTGCCACCTTTTGCTCAGTGACTCTGTATCTCCTATGTTTCCTCCTCAGGGTTAACTAACCTCTGGTTTCCTACTGACACAGTTTTTACATTTCAATAGGCTACAATCAAGTCTTACAGGCCTGAGAACCAGTCTGACTCATCGGGTGACTCTGCATATTTGTGTTCTGATTCACTCTACTTATCTTACATCAACTGTCAAAGAACATCATGATAAATCCCAAAAGCAGAAATTAAGCACCTTATCATCCTACAGCTTTCATTCCAGTATTATACAAAGAGCACTGAAATCCTAGAAACTTGGAGCAGTCAGACCTACTAATAATTTCCTCTGGACAAAACTAAAGAATTTCCTCACAATGAAGTGTCCCTGAAATACCAAAGCTACAAAAGAATGTGGCTTTTATTCTAAAATACACCAAACAATCTATATTTGGTATATGCTCATGCAGAAGAAAAGTAAACTTTTAAAAAATTTTCATTTATATAACTAGTCTAATTAGTGTCTTCATCTTCAAAAAAAAATTTATGACACATAATTGTACATATTTAGAGTGCACAATGTGATATTTCAGTACATGTATATACATTGTGTAATGATCATAACAGGGTAAGTGGTGTATCCATCACCTTAAACAATTATCATTTTTTTGTGATGAAAACATTCAAAAACTTCTCTTCCAGCTAATTTGAAATATACAATACACTGTTGTTAAATCTAGTCATCTAGTCATCCTACTATGCAACAGAACACCAGAACTTATTCCTTCTAACTAACTGTGACTTTGTACCTGCTGACCAATCTCTCTCCATCCTCCTCTTCTTCCTACCCTTCCAATCCTCAGGCAACACCGTCCCACTCTCTACTCCCATGAGAACAACTTAGTAGATTTCACACAAATTATATACAATATTTGTCTTTTCTATGCCTGGTTTATTTCACTTGATATCCTCCAGGTTGATTCATGCTGCCACAAATGAAAGGATCTCATTTGTTCTTAAGATTGAATAGTATTTCACTTGCCCATTTTCTTTGGCCATTTATTCATTGATGGACAAGTAAGTTGATTCCACATCTTGGCTATTGTGAACAGTACTGTAATAAACATAGGAATGCAGGTATCTCCTTGACATGCTGATTTCATTTCCTTTGGCTATATACTCAATAGTGAGATTGCTGGATCATATGGTAGTTCTATTTTTTTTTTTTTGAGTTGGAGTCTCTGTCGCCCAGACTGGAGTGCAGCGGCCGCTCCCGGCCACCACAGCCTCGACCTGCTGGACTCTGGTGATCCTTCCACCTCAGCCTTCCAAGTAGCCGGAATTACAGGCGCGCGCTACCATGCCCGGCTAATTTTTTAATTTTATTGTAGAGATGAGGTCTCACCTGCCCTGGCGAGTCTCAAACCCACGGGTTCAGGCAATCCACTCACCTCAACCTCCCAAAGCCGCGGGATTACAGCCCGGCTGATAGTTCTATTTTTAAGGAACCTTCAAACTGTTTTCCATAATGGCTGTACTAATTTACATTACCAATAGCAGTATAAGGGTTCCCTTTCTCCACACATCCTCGCCAACACTTGCTATCATCTGACTTTTTTTTTTGGATGAGCTGCTGTTTGCTAGTATTATTTTGTTGAGAATTTTTGCATGCATGTTTTACAGCATGGGCTGTAGTTTTCACTTTTTGTCATATCCTTGTCTGCTTGGTAACAGAGTAATGCTAGCCTCATAAAATGAGTTCAGAAGAATTCCCTCCCCTTCAACTTTTTGGAATAATGTGAAAATAACTCATATTAGATCTTTAAATGCTTGGAAGAATTCAGAAATAAAGTCATCTGGTCCTGAGCTTTTCTTTGATGGGAGATATTATTGATTCATTATGGTCTGTTCAGGTTTTCTACTTTTTAATGATTCAAACTTGGTAAGTTGTGTGTGTCTAAGGAACTTATTCATTTCTCCTAGGTTTTCCAGTTTGTTGGCATACAGTTGTTCACTATATTTTCTAAGGATTCTTTGTATTTCTGTGGTGTCAGTTGTAATATTTCCATTTTGTCTCTAAGTTTATTTCTTTGAATCTTCTCTCTTTTATTCTTAGTTAGCCTAGCTAAAAGTTTGTCAATTTTATCTTTTCAAAAAAACAACTCTTCATTTTGTTCATCTTTTGCATTTTTTTTCAGTTTCCATTTCATTTTTTTAATCCAATCTTTACTATTCCTCTCCTTCTACTAATTCTCGATTTAGTTTTTCCTTGTTTACTAGCTTCTTGCGATACAACATTAGGTTGTTTCCTCGAGATCTTTCTACTTTTTTGACGTAGATGTTAATTGTTACAAACTTTCCACTTAGTACTTATTTTGCTATATTCTATTGGTTTTGGTATGTTGTGTTTCCATTATCATCTGTCTCAAGAAATTTTCTAGGCTGGGCACAGTGGTTCATGCTTATATATTGCATAAGCAATAGTGCTTTGGGAGGCCTAGGTGGGGGGATTGCTTGAGGCCAGGAGTTCAAAACCAGCCTGAGTAACATAACAAGAACACCTTTTTACAAAAAGTTTAAAAATTAGCTGGGCATGGTGGCATATGCCTATAGTCCTAGCTACTCAGGAAGCTGAGGCAAGAGGACTGCTTGAGCCTAGGAGTTCTAGGTTAGAATGAGCTGTGTTTAAACCACGGTACGCCAACCTAGGTGACAGAGAGTGACCCTGTCTCTTTAAAAAAGGAAGAAAGGAAGGAAGTAAGGGAGGGATGGAGGGAGGGAATTTTCTAATTTGCTTTTTAAACTCTTCATTGACCCAATGGTTATTCAGGAGCATGTTGTTTCATTTCCACATATTTGTATCATTTCCTAAATTATTCTCATTATTGAATTATAGTTTTATTACATTGTAACTGGAAAAGATACTTAATATGAGTTTCATTTTTTAAAATTTATTGAGATTTGTTTTGTAGCCTATCATATGACCTATCATGGAGAATGTTCCATGTACTGTTGAGAAGCATGTGCATCCTGCAGCTGTTGAGTAGAATGTTCTATAGATGTCTGCTAGGTCCATTTGTTCTAGGGTATAGTTTAACTCTGCTGTTTTCTTTGTTAATTTTCTTTCTGGATGATCTGTCCATTGCTGAAAGTGGAATAGGAAAGTCCTCTACTATTACAGTAATAGAGTCTATCTCTCTCTCTAGGTCTATTAAACTTTCTTTATATATTTAGGTACTCCAATGTTAGATGCATATATATTTAGAACTGTTATATCCTCTTATTGAACTGACCCTTTTGTCATTATATAATGGCCACGTCTCTTTTTACAGCTTTTGATTTGAAGTTTATTTTATCTAAGTATAGCTATTCCTGCTCTCTTTTGGTTTCCATTTGCATGGACTATCTTTTCCCATGCCTTCACTTTCAATCTATGCATGTCCTTACTGGTGAAGTGAGTCTCTTGAAAGCAGCGTATAGCGGCCTTGTTTGTTTGTTTTTCTTTATACACCCATCTGGTCACTCTAAGTCTTTTAAGTGGATAATTTAAGTCATTTACATTTAAGGTAAAATGATCAGGAATTAAGGTTTTTACTATTGCCATTTTGTTATGTGTTTTCTAGTGTTTTGTAGTTCTTTTCTTCCTTTCTCCCTCTCTTACATTCTTCCTTTAAGGTAG